ACTATAACTATAACTATAACTATAACTATAACTATAACGATAACGATAACTATAACTATTACTACTACTACTACTACTACTACTACTACTACTACTGCTCCTGCTCCTGCTCCTGCTCCTGCTCCTGTTGCTGCGACGACAGCAGTACGACGACGACTGCGATGATTGCGACTACGACGACTACGACTACTGCCCGCACTACCACTGACTACTTACTCACTACTTGCACGGAGTGCGCAACATGCATCTGTGTGCTGTAGTTGCCCTGCTTCTGACCATTACTGTCATACTGCTCATCCTCTGCCACGGTGCTCATGCAGCTCTTCCATCGACAATGCTCCCAAAAGGTGGCCACTGGAAAGCTCCGACCTGAAGTTGAAAAATGTATGGGTTCTCCGGTACTCTGTGGGTGCTGGGTTGTGGCTAGGATGGCCGTGTATTGACTTGAAGATATTATCGAAAGTCAACCTCCTGCATGTAGGGCTCAGGGCTGAATAAGGATAATCGCACTGCCCCGGCGACACCAAGCAAATCCTACCTGAGGCAGCTGCAAAGAGATGTGGCCATCTCGGTCGCGATCGAAATAATTGAATGCAGCCTTCATGACCTTGCTGTTCATGTAGCAGCTCGGGTCCTTGTGCGGAGTCCGCATTAGAGCACAGCAGAATGAAGGCAACACCTGACTGAATGCATCTGGACTGCGGTGCAGTTTTATGTGATGCAAAATCTGGGTGCAGTTGAGGTTCGACAGTTGCTGCCAAGAACTCCGTGTATCCAAATGGACGGCTGGGACCCAGCAGTTCAAAACGATCTGCAACAGCGTCTTTGACCTAACGAGCAGTGCGAGTTACGTTCTTCGAAGGTGAACACACATTGCCCTTTTACCTGTACGGTCTTGGCTGCGAAGCTCTTGCCATGGAGCTTTTGCAGCAGACATGCTCTTGTCAGGCTTTGGCACAACAGCTGCTTGATCGCTCAATTGGTGCTAGCGTGTGAGTGCTCACTTCGGCCAGCCTGAAGCGATGACACTGGGTTGTCTCCCATGCCCATGGCCGCGCCACCAGCGCGTTTCCTTGGCACATATGACTCTTACCAACTCGAGTGGAGTCTCAAACCAGCAGCTCCCCACTGAAGCCGCGTCTCAGATCTTGTGCGGAGACCTTGCCATCCCTGTCTGCATCCAGGCTGATGAAGAGCTCACCTTCGGTTGTAGAACACCCTTGACCCGCGCTCGACGAGCAAAGGCCGTGCTCACATCGCCAGCTAAACAAGACCAACTGTGGCAACTAAAAATTGCATCTTTCTCATCTCCAAGCTGCGGCTGCTGGCAATCTGGTGGTCCGACCTGCAGCGAGACAGACAAATCGCTGTGTCTTTCCAAAGCAGTTGTCCGAAGGTGGTGCAGCCAAGCTTCAGCATGCTGACAGCAGTGCATATCACAGCCCGTTTGAACCTGAATGTTGTGGCACTGTCTCACTCAAAACACGGGCAGCATCCGCCATGTCGCCAGCATGTTGATCGCAAAAGCAGGTTGAGATGCGGCAAAAGCCAAGTCGCTTGTTGTAGGAGCGGAAGCGCTGCAACTCCTCAGGCATCCATATGTGACAGAGTCGCGTGCCCTAGTTGAAGTTTCCTGGCATCAATTCATCGGGTTCACCGCAATTTGTAATTGTGCAGGTCACGTCAGGTCACAGAACGCGTTTCCGGTCTGGATGCGTGCGTACTTGTGCAATCCAGGAACCAATGTCCCCACACTGGCGTACAACACCAAAAGAATGAAAGCCCCAGCTCATGATTCGTGTACGCCTCATAACCGAAAGTGGAGAGATCTAAGCCACGGAATCTTTATCTTTACCGATTCCCCAGCTCCTGCAGGAGGCTCCCGTGGCTGTTTTGAGCAGCCTTGCCTTCAGCAAGCCAATCGTCTCGCAAGGCCTTCCTTGGTTTAGGAAACTGAGTTGTCTTTGGGACGCTTAGAGCCCAAGCCTCCCTAAACCCCCCAAAACGCCCTAAACCTTAAACTCCATGAGCCCTGAAACCCATTAAGCCATAAAGACCCCTTTCTCTTAGATCTTCCGTTGAAGAAAGCCGGGCCGCTTTGCAGAGTATCGACTGGAAGGCCGCTTGCAAAGCAACATGCCTTAGGTTGGGGAAGTGAAAGCCCAAAAAACTATGCCGTACTTATGCTAAACCATCGTGAAGGTAGAAATATCGTAAAAGGTCTACTAGAATCTAGAATTTTGGTAGACTTTTACTCGAATTGTGGTACTATGATTACAATGCTAGTAGAATATATCCCAACCCCCGAATCAAGGCTTTCCTTCGAGAACACCTTGTTCTAGGTGTAGGTCGGCCGATTGTTTACGAGGCCAAGGGGAAGTACTTCAACTCCAAGTTGGACCCTAAACCCTAAACCCTAAAGAGAAGGCGAATGCACCATTCAGCGTTCGACTAGCTCGCTCTCTGTGCCAAGGCGCTGAGGAAAGCGACCGGCTGCCTGAGGCGGCTTTTCCAGAGGAATATTATAGTATATTGTAGTATATTA